TTCAAGTAACAGTCAGAACTAAGTGCTTTCTTTTTAAAATGAAGACTTCCAAAACAACAGGAAGCATAGTTATGTAAACATTTATACGTTTGTAAAGAATGCAAAAGGAATTTAGTACTGGTCCTGGTAATCTTTAACTGTAATAAATTTTTCATTAAGAGAAGCTTACTAGAACAAATTTAAAAAATAATGGAATTAGACTTCTTTTAATTCTATATTTTTTTATTAGAAGAAATGACTTGACTTTGCTCAAATGTTTCTAAGCTTTGACCTGATAGGTAGGCCCATTTAGTTCTGAAGCAGACTAAACAGCGTGACTTCCTATCATAATCACTCTCCCCCAACATCATACCACCAAGCTCACTGACTATAACAATAGGATACAAAGTGAAGCATAGCTCAATTTTTTAAATTATATTTGTTTGCTTATTTATTAGTAAGAGAAATAGTTCATTGCTTCTCTGTAGAGATAGAATCAGTCACCTTGGAGTTATCTTTCTTCACCAAAAGCTCACTTGAGTGGCCTCTCATTCAGGGGGATGTTGTTTCTTCCTTCCTGGTTTCCCTTGGGATGGGGAAGACCAGTTTGTTTTAAGAGAAGGAAGGGAGAAGAACTCAAATTTTCCCCCCAGAGATTTCTATTTAGAATAGAACAGACTGACCCTGAACTAGGTCTACAGGCCAAAAGTAAAATAAATACTCCAAAAGCAAACTTGCTGTGAAAGCAGAGAAGGGGCTGCTGGTGCCCTAGGCCTAACAGCAAGGCCGAATCGTAGGTGCTGCATTCTGACACTAGTCATGCTTTATGGAGAAATATGGTTGAGCATTACATAAAGACTTAAAGCTATAGTCTTGGATTCTAGTGGAGGAAACCAGGACAGTAGTGGAAGGATCCATCAGTCAACTGAAAAATGATAGCAAATGACACCAACCAGAATGCCAGAGGTCCAGTGGGCTCTCAGGCCTCTTTCTCTACCTAGAAACTGGAAATAAGTTGAGGTCAGGGAAGAGAATGATAATGCTGGATTCCTTAAGCAATGAATGGCAAAGTAGACATGTGACTGTATTGTTACCCCAAGACAATGAACATATACTTTAGTACCAGAAATGACAGGGTCAAGTTTGCTCACATTTGATGATTAATTCAGCTATTTTGTTTATTCTTTTCCTCATTCCATGAAGGATTTAAGACTGAACTACTGCACCTCTTCCTTTCTGTACTGGGTATTCTCAGTCCTACTGTTTCCAGTCAAACCATGACGATTTTCCTTTAACCATCTGCACTGATCTGTAAGTTATTGGATGTCAAAGCCCTTAACTGGTTTCCTTACTTTGGCCTTGTTCATTTCTCTATTGGAGAAGCAATCCCAAGACTCACAGGGTTCAAGGAAAAGGGACACAGACCCCAACTCTTGGGAGGAGTGGCAAAAAATTTGCAACCAGGTGTTAAAACTACCACAATCCAGTTTCTGGCCACAATTTTTTACACTGCCTCCATAATCAAATATACTTACCCTCTTCCAAGATTCCCAGACCCTTCATACAATTAAAACACCAGGGTCAGGTCTGGATCTCATCACCTACATCAGGGCCAGGTGTGGATGAGGCTCGTCAGAGTCACCTCCCCTCTTAAGGATGATGGTCTTGCACTGTATTCATTAAGTACATTTCCTTCTTCCCACTTTGTCACCAGCTAGAGTGTTGCCAAACTTTTCACCCCTAGGTAGCAAGATGCCTTCCTTTCTGCTTCCAGTCACCATGTTCCTCAACAACAGTCTCCTAAAAATGCATTTGAACACATCCATTTGAACACCATCTGGTTTCAAAACCAATGTCCATGTTTTAGGTTTTGTTAAGCCAGCATCTCACTTCCAAATACCAAGTTTTGTTCTGCTTATCTAATTTTGCACTCTCCAACATACTGGCTTAATACAACTGTTTTATTTTTCTCATGATTTGGAGAGTCAGAAATTTGAGGAAGTATCAGTCTTTCATGTTGTCATATGTTTAATGGGGCTTCAAACATCTGAAAACCCTATGCGGCTGAGAGTAAACACTATTTCTGGGAGCTCAGTGGGGCCTGCTGACCAGCACCCCTACACATGGCTTCTCCATGTGGCTTGGGCATCTCACAGTAAGGTGACAGAGTTCTAGGCTTGCTTACATTAATTTACTGTCTTGTTAACTTCCTATCATCTCAACTAATAGCAATGATTATTCCTGAAGAACACTAAAAAAGAAAACCAAAAACAAACTTCGAACCCTAACTCCAAGTGCTTCCTATATAATACAACAATGAAACAACTCATTTAACTGGAAATCCAAGTGAAAAGAAAAGGAAAAATTTATTGAATGTTAAACGTGTGCTATTATTGTATACCTAAACTTAGAACAAGGATAGCAAAGAACAATTTGCATAATAAATATTCCTATTATTTGTTTCTAGTTAGTACAAAAATTGAATAGCAACCGTCAGTGAAGTAGGACAAAAGAGGGCTATTATCATAAATATTACTTGGATCTTTCAAGGGGATTTGATTACCTTCTACCCAGACTCCACTTCACCCACTGGAACAGAGATTCTGCTTTTCATCAGTCAAATGTCAAGTGGCTTTATTGCATGCAAGTGTTACGCTAGCCATATTCCATATAAAGGGCAAAGAACATTTTTTCTCAGCAGAATTTGAGAGAAAGATGCCTCTTCATGGTAAAATTGCTCATGAAAAAAACATGGACCAAAGATAAACTTCAGAAGGTTCTGATCTTATAAGGGCAAAAGATGCCAAACTACTTATGACACATCAGTGAAACTGACAACATCATCTTTCCCTGGCTGAAGGCATATATTCTCCCATGTTAAAAATACTTCACATTCCTAGTAACCTCTGCCAATCATTTTCCTCCATTCTTCTTTTAATCCATCATTGAACATTACTGAAGAGTTTAAATTTACCTTAGAAACAGGATACTTAGACTGTTTGTAGTTTAGGGATGAGTAAAGTATATATATTATATGTTATATATATATATGTATATATTAATAGTAAATTTTGTTAGTCACTCATTTAAATTTAATTTGGGGGTATCACTAAATTAATCCACTACTGAACACAGTTTTTCATTGAGGGATATTTATCCTCCTATTGCTGTATGTGAATTAAGGCATTTATAAGGTGAAACAGAGATTTGAAGAAAAAGACAAATTTCTCATCTTGCTCCAGAGGGAAGGATGGTGTGCACTCTCCCAACCCGTCCCTCTAGTGTGTCAGCAGAGGAGAGTGACAGTGACTATCCCAGCTCTGTATAAGGAAAGAGGTTTTTCTCTGTGGATTACAACAGACTGGCTCTGAGATAGGGAGGAGAGACTTGACTGTGCCATAAAGGCCTCCTAATGCAAAGATCCTGGGCACAGTGTGAGATTCTTATCAAGTTCCTGTGTGCATTCAAACTTTAATAACCAAAATTCTGGGTTTCCATAGAAATGATATAGTAGATTACATTTAAAAGAAATTAAAATTTAGAACAACTAGGCTATATAGTGAGAGCAAATGAAATACTGCCTGGTACTATTATACAACATTACTAGTATAGTTGGATATCATTTCACTTGCTCCTCACAACAGCCCTGCAGACTAGGTAGCATTTCCCTGTTTCACAGATGAATGAACTGAAGCTAAAAGACCTGGACCAGTCCATCAAATACTATGAGGAAATTCTAGACTGGCTTGACTCCAGATCTTTCTCTTATGCAACAAATTTCAATTCTATGACAAAAGGTAAAAACAAACAAAAAATACATAGACAAGAAAGATATGTCTCAAGTTAAGAGAAGCTAAAATTCTATTGGTTGTACAATAAGAAAATTTGTTTTATTATAATATTCCATTTACTGATCGTGTATTGTACTATAGCTACATTAACGCTGCAACTACATTAATGTTTAGAAGTTAAAATACTTTGGAGAAATGCCAAAAGAATCCTTTGAAGATCTTAAAGTGCATTATTTTGTTTTGTGGTTTATGCTCCTTTATTCTTTTCTTCCTCCCTATCTTCCTGCCTTACTTTTTTAAATTCTCCAATTCGGTGTAGTTTTTGCATTTTGTACTACTAAGATGACCTTTTGGAAATTGCTTGCAATTGCTGTTCCAAAAGTATTTCTCTTATTGGGAGAAAAAATTGAAGAACAGGGAAGAATATTTTCCATTGTCCCCTAGGTAGGCATAGCTTTCTTTCTGCTTATACATCCCATCCACATAACTCTAGGCCATTAATCATTGGTACTAGAAGCTATTATCTGACTTTTATATCCCCCACCCTAATAATATATCATTATTATATCATTAAGTTTCCTAAGTCAAGATCTAAGGGATAGGACTTAAGTCTCTGGGGGAAAATGATATGTTCACATGCAATTCTGAAACTTTTATACAGGAAATTTTCACACCAGTTTCTCTGATAGTTTTTTTAAAAATGCAAATAAAGAATTCTATATCTGTTCTTTTAATATTCATTTCCAATAAAACATCTTTAACCTAATAATAAACAACAGGATATCTCTTTTTGGTTGGTAAAAACAGTAAGACTCCTTATAAGGCAATGAATCATCTAGTGAAGTTCTTAATAATTGTTCCTTTTTCATTTGCTTACAAAAAGAGAAGTTTATATCTAGGCAATAGCTCATATTAGTAAATAGCAACATGAGCAGAATTAGTTGTTTAATAGAATTTCAAAAGTAAAAATGATTAAAAAGATACCACAAGCTTTGTTCCTACTTCTTTAAAACTACATTTACTTAAATAATTTGGGTTTGCCTTTGAATAAACTACTTTGAGTTTATTTGTCATTGTCTGCTACCCAGTGATTCCTGGTGAGGCATATCCCCTCCAGAAAAATAATAATCAATAATGACTAGGCTTTTGGAAAACAATTATTAATGTTAAAAATGTGACATTGACTGAGTTATTCCATTAGCAAATGTTAAATATCCTATATTTACTCACCTGTAAGTCCTAAAAGAATGTAGCCCATAATGAAGAGCATGAAGACTACACAGCACAGAACATCTGTACACCTCCTAGAGAAAAAAAGGAATAAAGGATTAAAAGGTGTCCAAAATGACTTATTTACTGCACAAAATACATGAACACAGAAAAAATCATCATAATATGCCATTTTATATCCAATAATTCTGCAATGCAGTTCTGATGTATTTCTGTGAAGACATAGCAGCAATGGAGTGATCATAGTTCCACGATTTAAAAATCTCCAGAGTTCTTAGTATTCTCTCAGTTCTTTATTTGTAAGGCTTTTTAGAGATTAGGGTACACCAACATCAAATAACTATTTTTATTTGAAATTATAATTTAAGCTATTTGATTTCATGATTTTTCTTCTTCATGCCTTCCCAACATAATACAGTGAAAAAAAATTAGCCATCTTCCACACCTCCTTTCCTCCATTATCTTTCTACAGACACACAGTAAGAGTATAATTATTACATAAATTATCAGCTACATAGTTGCAACTATTCTAACAACAATGTATATCCTGCATTTTAAAAATGAAATAGCTCAAATCTGTAATTTTTCCAGCTATTCTGTAAGCTACATAGTCAAATTGGGTTTAGAGAAAATTTGGCTCATGGAAGACTCAGTGATTTGCTGAGCATCCCTGAGTCAAGCCAAGATCCAGCAGGAGTACTCCAGGTTTTCAGCTGAAGTATTTCCTATTCCCAATATTGTGTCTTGTTCAGTTTGTAAGTAGTCTGGAAGGTGGAAGATATATTTTGAAAGTGAGAAGTAATAAAACCATTCTTTATGTAAAAGTTAATAAGGAATCTATTAGTAAAGAAAAAGACCAATCTATTTGACAGGATTAAAATTGCACACAAGAGTTTTCATAGCAAAACCTCTTTGCTCTTGAGGGTATATGGATTTGCTTTAATCTTTTAGTGCAGGCACTGCTTTTCATGGTGGTAGTAGTCATAATAATGAAAAATAATTGTACAGTAACAGACAGTAATACCTTGACTGATAAAGCCCTGTGATGCCTTTACTGCTTTCACATATATAACTTCGTGAGTTGGCTGAGAATACCTCCACATTTTTAGAGGTTTAGTAACGTAAGTTGACATATTTAAGGTCCATGAGAGAAGGGTAGTTATAGAAGCAAATATCTAGGTCTCCAATGCCTAACGTTTTTCATTAGTAGTTATTCTAATAGCACTATAATTTTTGTAAAGACTCAAATTGGCCATATCTTAAACTCCACATATGTCTCAACTACTCTACCTCACAATAGGAAGTGGCTCGTTCATTAAGTTAATCATGATCAATCCAGAAATAATCATTTGTTTAAATCTGATTTCAACCCAGGGATTTTAAATTTCATTTCGATTTAAGAATTACGAGAAGAAGAAGAAAAAGAAGAGAAAAAAGTGCTCTCAATTTCTTTGGTCAACAACCATAAACCTGCTTGGGGGTGAGGGGAGTATGTGGTTCGCATCTATTCTGACACATCCTATTCAGCATCAACACAGGATCAGGTTCTCATCCTGGCAGAGCAGTTGTTAAATAGCGTGAGACCTAATAAGAAATACCTGAAGGTAAGGAACTAGGAAAGAAAACTAGAACTCTGGCATGCTTTAATTAGAAATCTTGAAGTTGTCAAAGCCCTCCTGAGTAACCATAACTACCAAGAAAAGGGAGAGAGGGATATGATCAGAAGTACCAGCCAGGTTGGACAGCTGTAATTATATAATATGTTTATATCTATATATTTATGTTAGAATATATACTGTAATGCATATTTATAGTGACCTAATGTTATACATAGTATTATAATGTTACATACTTATAATGTTACGTAGAAAGCACAGGGAGTGGTAAACATACTAGAAAGATGAGGGAAAGAAACTTACCAATTTCAAAGGACAGGGCACAAGGAAAGAAGCAGAGATGAAAAGGAGAACTTCAAAAAGTAAAACCCACACTCTTCAGCTACTGGCACTGATGAACAGGCATCAGTTGGAGTTTTGGTTTCCTATAGGGGTTACGGCTATGATTTCTCTTCTTTTTGGGGCCAAGGACAGGCTACAGCCTTAGGGACTACATCCCCACACAGCTGATCCCCCTAGCAGCCTCTCACCACGGGATAGCGTTTCTCAATAATTCACAGCTTGAGCTGCTCAGGAATTCTGTCCCAGATTTAGGGAGGATAATGTATTCAAGTCTGGTTTGCTTTTCTGGTACAATGCTTTAGAGAAACAGCAGACCATACCCCAAAGCCAGTCTGGTTAATTTTATCTTGTTGAAACACAGAAGAATGTTGAACAAACTAAAAATTATGAATGGAAAATTCAATATCTCAAAAAGAAGGAAAGTTTTCCTGGATCAGAAAGACATTCATATTTCTGAATTGGTTCCTATAGTGATTTGATTCCCTTTGCTATTTTAGAAATTTCCTTTTAAAATAGGGGTGTGTGTGTGTGTACTTTAAGGTAATTAAAATTACAGCCATTTTTCCCACCAATTTATCTGTTTTTCTTTGCCTTAGGTATATTCTCTCCAGAAAAAGTTACTGCTTAGAAAATTACTTGAAAATTGAATTTGAACACAATATAAAATATAGCCTGGACACTATTTTGTGAGTCGGGAACATGACATAAACTTAATTCAAATTTTTAGTTGTATCCCCTTATCGCTGTGCTTTTCTTTTGATTTCAGAGCATCTGTCCCAATCCTAGGTGTTCTGTAGAAAATGACTTATTTTTAAAAACCAAGAAGTTAATTTGAATAACTTTTAAGACTCTCAAGACAGCTACTGAGGCAACTGAGTGATACCACTCACGGATGAAAATCATTCTGAAACATATTGTACTTAGAGGCCAGTCGCAGCTATACCTTGTTCTCAGGTGGGCTCATTTTTACTTTCACAGCACACACTAAGATCCACTGTAGTAAGCTTAAAATGGGTTGCATCCCACTGGGTCCCAGAAAGAAGATGGAAAAAATAGTCATAGAAAAATATGCCATAAGATCCTCCCTTACCCTCCTCCAAATCCAAGTCCAACTTTTTCAAAACAAGCAGCTCACACATTTATCAAAAAGCTATTCAAAACTTTATTCAGATGGAGCTGCCCTGGCATAAAAGTATTTGCAAAAGTTAAACTTACAAAGCACCACTGCTACTTTATATCTACTTTTCCAAATTACAAGAAGAATAGTACCCTGTCTTGCCAGTGGGTTTGAGTCCTGGGCAAGTTCACTATGGATTCAGTGTGACCAAAGAAATTGACAGCAAACGGTCTTTGGGGTGAAAGGGTTTATTACACGGCTTGTTCTCCTGGAGGTAGGTCGAGCACTAACGTCTCTGCCTCAGCCCAGAGCACTAGGCCGAGCTCTCTATATAGCACAATAATGACTTACTGCCTAAAGGTGTGGAAGTGGTAGCCTGCAACAGGCCAGCTACATCATCAGGTGGTTTAAGTTCAGTGAGGATCCTGGCCATAGGAACCCCAACTTGCCCACAGATCCCAATAATATATGCACTTACAGATTTCCCTTTCCCTCCTATCTCTAACCCACAAATACAGTGTGCCTATGGGCACCTCAACTTAAAATGTCAGGAGTTTCCTTTCACTCCTTTTCCTAGCATATCTTTAATATTCAATTGACAATTGACAATTGACAATAATATTCACTATTGACTCCTTCTCCCAGATATGTCTTTCATCCACCCTTTCTTTTCTATTCCTGCTGCCTGGATGTAGTTCAGATTCTCTATCCTCTCTTCAAACTATTGACACAGTCTCTTAATTGGGTTCCTCTCTCTAATCTGATTCATTCTGCACATCACCCACATCACTCACATGTGATGATGTTACTTTGTTGTTTACAAAATTGCAGTGCCTCTCCATCACCTATTAAATAATTTCCAAAATGTCTTAGCTTTAAGATTAAGAATCTACAAGTTTGCTCCTTGTTCATGCCTCAGGATAAAGCTGTCTTTCTAGCTTTATCTCCCACTGTTCATCTCACTGTGCTTCAACCACCTTGGAATTTTTCATTCATTGACTACATCATGTGCTCTCCCTTGACCACATTTAGGGCTCTCTGCTGATGTCCCCTTCAGGCTCCTCCTTTTGAGGTTACCATATGTCCCAATTTGCATGGGACAACCAGGCTTTATAAATAATGTCCTGTAGTAACCATTATCAAATGGTCCCTTTTACTCCAAAGTGCCTCTGTGTGGCTCTCTACCCTACCTATAAAATTCCATTCTTCATATGATCAGATCCCCTTCGTTTTTTCTTTTTCTTTTCTTTTCTTTTCTTTTGGTATCATTAATCTACAATTGCATGAGGAACATTATATTTACTAGACTCCCCACATCACCAAGTCCACCCCACAAACCCCATTACAGTCACTGTCCGTCAGTGTAGTAAGATTTGTGTATGGGGTTAGACAATGATCCAGTTTCATTCTCCTACATGTAGCTGTCCAGTTTTGCCAACACCAGCTGTTGAAGAGGCTGTCATTTCCCTTTGTATGTCCATGGCTCCTTTATCGTACATTAATTGACCATGTATGTTTGGATTAATATCTGGACTCTGTACCCTGTTCCACTGGTCTGTGGGTCTGTTCTTGTGCCAGTACCAAATTGTGTTGATTACTGTGGCTTTGTAGTAGAGCTTGAAGTTGGGGAGCAAGATCCCTCCCACTTTATTCTTCCTTCTCAGAATTGCTTTGGCTATTCGGGGTCTTTGGTGGTTCCATATGAATTTTAGAACTATTTGTTTCAGTTCGTTGAAGAAGAATGCTGTTGGTATTTTGATAAGGATTGCATTGAATCTGTAGATTGCTTTAGGCAGAATGGCCATTTTGACAATATTAATTCTTCCTAGCCAAGAGCATGGGATGAGTTTCCATTTGTTAGTGTCCTCTTTAATTTCTCTTACGAGTGTCTTATAGTTTTCAGGGTATAGGTCTTTCACTTCTTTGGTTAGGTTTTTTCCTAGGTATTTTATTTTTTTTGATGCAATTGTGAATGGAATAGTTTTCCTGATTTCTCTTT